GCTGCTGAGGACAGTGGAGTTCATTCACGAAGGGTTTCGTAACAATATGCTTACTGGCGTTTTATTTCTTGACATAGCCAAAGCATTTGATAGGACTTGGCATATAGGAATCATTATCAAGCTCATACGACTTGACGTTTCGGCCCATTTAATTCATATAATTAACTCGTACCTCAATAATAGATCTTTTTCTGTACGAGTTAATTCTTTCATTTCGGTCCTATACTAAGCGGCGTCCCCCAAGGGTCACTTTTAGGCCCATTTTGTTCAACATTTTCATAAATGACATAAAATCACCTAGTATCACTCTTGCACTTTATGCAGATGATACGGCCATCCTAGTTCAAAAGAAACGCCTTGAAAACTTGGTTCATATCATTCAGAGATATCTCTCCAGCCTTGAGCACTGGCTCATCACTTGGAAAATTAATGTTGCTAAATGTGCTGCTATGATCTTCAAACGTAGCCCCCTCCCGTACCCTTCCATTAATTTAAAGTTTTTCGACGACTATGTTCCCTGGTCAAATTCTTACAAGTACCTAGGAGTTGTACTTGATTCAAAATTACTCTGGCACCTTCACATTGAAAATGTTCTCAATAAAGCAAAAGGTGCTAGAGCCCAACTTTACCCTCTTTTAGCTCGAAAGAGCCATCTGTAGATTAAAAACAAAATTCTTCTCTATACATCAATTATAAGACCTGTCTTTATGTATGCATGTACAATCTGGGGTACTGCTGCAAAAACTCATGTGAAAAAACTTCAATCTTTTCAAAGTAAGACCTTACGTATGGCCCTTAATGCAGCCTGGTACGTCCGTACAGATGTGATTCATTCAGACCTTAACATTAAACCTGTTGATTACTATATTAAAAAACTTAGTCAAAATTTATTCCTCAAAATTGAACAGATTGATAACCGAGCACTTCAGCAGATTCCAGCATACGATCCTGCTATTCGCAGCTCACAGAAGAGACCGAGAGCCGTGATTAGCCGAGAGTTCGGCATCTACCCTCCATCCAAAAGGGCAAGACACGCCCTCTCAACTTCTATTCCAGCTCCCGCGCCATGAGGGAAGGACTTCTCTTCAACGAGCTGCTATATAATTGTTTATAACATCATCAGCACCAGCAATCAAGATCTTCAAGCAAAGTTATCAATCTGTTCGCTTAAGAATCACATTTCCCGCAGATTCTAAATCTGCCTATGAATATTTTCACCGCGTACCCCTTTTATTATTTGCACTATCCAACACAAGCCACATGCCAATGAGCCATGAGCCTATTAATCGTAAACTCTTTACTATCTGCTTTTTGCTTTAAGTGTTTGTATCGTGTATTAAAAAATTATAAAAACCAAAAAAAAAAAAAGTATAAAATATAAAAGTACAAAAAAATTATAAAAACCTAAAAACTTATAAAAAAATTATGATATTTAAGTTTTTATTTTCTAATTCCTATCCCTAAACTTTCTCGAGCCTATGGCTCCCTCTATTGAGCATCAAGTAATTCACTTATGCAAAATTTTTCCTACTTCTGCTCACTATTAGTAATTCTGATGTGGAGGTACATGGTTTTGAACCATAGGCACTCCGAAACTTGCAAATCATCGGCATTAGCATCCGAGAGGGGAGACGAGGAAAGGATTTTCGATGACACTTTTTTTTTTTCTGACGAAGGAGAGAGATGGAGTAAAGTTCTTCAAAATAAACGCTTTTCCTGACGGAGTAGCAGTGACAAGATGATACCTTCTTCTATCTTCTGCCTGGCAGACCCCCGAGAGCTGCAGGGAAAATAGGTCCAACACCATATGCTAAGCCGAGAAGGACAAAAGTGGTTTACAGTGGTGCAAGAAGCACAAAAACTGGGCTTCTCATCAATGGAGTCGTATCCTTGTTACGGATGACAGTCGTTTTAGTGCCATAAGCGATTCTCAACACAAATTGATTTGGAAAGAGGTCAGGATACGGTTTAATCTCAGTAACATCATGAAAAAAACCGTTACGGTGTCCTGAAGAGGCATTATTCTGAACGGGCAGACAGAGATCCATGTTTTCGACAGAAGTTCTGTAACCGGAGATCGCTATTGTCAGGAGGAGATCCTTCCCCAGTCTGCTCCGAGGTGCCATTGGAGCAGATTTCGTTTTTATGGATAACAATACATGGCCACACCGAATGGATTGGCTACCGTACTCCCCTGATTTAAATCCCATAGAACATGTGTGCGATGCTTTAGGGAGACGCCTTGCGGCACGATTACATCTTCCAGGGAACACCCAACAACTGAACAGACGCCGATTGAGAAATGGACACTCTTACCTCATGATTTGTTGGACAATATGGTGCTGGGTATGAAGCGACAGTGCAAAGCAACCATTGCAGTAACAGGAGGGCATATCTCATACTAAGGAACATCTGCTTGTTGTTCTTCCTCTGTTCAGAAGCTACTGAAAAGTGAAGATATTATTCGAATGGATTGGCCAGCGTGCTGCCCTGATTTAAATCCTGTAGAATATGTGTTGGATACCTTGGGGTTTTGCCTTGTGGCACAATTACATCCTCCGAGGAACACCCAGCAACTGAAACAGATGCTGATTGAGGAATGGGCACTCTTACCTCAAGATCTGTTGGACAATCTGGTACTGAGTATGGGGAGACCGTTCAAAGCAACTATTGCAGTAAGGGGAGGGCATATCCCATAGTAAGGAACATCTGCTTGTTGTTCTTCCTCTTGTACAGACAATTATGTATAACGATACCATGAGTTCAATAAAGCCTATTTTTGTTTGATTTCATACTGTATGCATTGTATTCATTTTTAGCACAATTATGATTTTGTCAATGTTTAAATACAAAATGGTGTGTCTTAATTCTGAATTTCATGTCTCTCAGATGATTTCTCGTAGAGTTATGCAAAAAAGAACACCTGTTGTTTAAGTTTTGCACACCAGCGTATCTTGTTCTATAAGGTTTCTTCCTTGTGCTACAAAATGTACACTGCCTAGATCTTCTAAATTTCACTGGTATATGTCCAACATTATTTAGTTTCTTTTCATCTGGCACATGAAATTTGTGGTTTTTTTATGCTAATGGGGAGGGGACTTGGTCTTTTTGGCTTTGGTACAGATCATTTGTTTCCCATTCATATTTATTTTATTCGTCTCAAAATATTTAGAAAATAATTTTAATTTAAATAAAACTTTTATGCGGTTTCCAATTTTTATTATAGCAAAGTATATTTACATTAAATTTAAAGCACACCAAATAATTTATAAAATCACAATACTAATTTGGGAAGCAAGTGTGTTGAGGTCAGAGAAAAATCTCAGGAAGAAAAAGACCTTTTCACCGAGCAGGTGCTTGTATTGTTTAGTTATAAAACAACTCTGTGGTTTCAAAGCCCCTTACCTACATTTGAGTAAAAATAAACATTCCTATTTGAAAAGCAAGCAAATGCCAATGTGAAAAGCAGCAGTTTAAGGCGCGACCACTGAACCTCTAGAGGATTGCGAGCATTGTGACACAATGGCGCAGTGGTTGCAACCTAAAACCACAAAGCAAATGCCATAAAGATAGATAGGTTTTTTTTCATATATGCAGCTTAATTATTGCAATTTTTAATTGTTCATGATAGAAATCATGATGTGTGATGAACAACTTTTGAAATTTAAAGTTGTTTATATTAATAAAAGGAAATTATTTTGTCTCGCTGGAAACGAATTTTAAAAGGCATCCGATTTGAAGCACTAAGACTTAAAATATGCATGATTCTGCAGTCATTTTGTGTTATTTAGAAGTAAAAGATCAGTAATCAATTTATTTTCACTCAAAAATTTCAGAAAGAAGAGGAGAAAAATTTCAAAAATTGGTGGTTTCAGGGCACGACCACGGAGCGTCAAAGGGTTAAGTGCGAAGAACATGATATTTTTTAATAAATAAAGGTAACACACAAATTTTTTTTTTTAAAAAAAGGCCTGTTTGGCCGTAATATAAAATCTGAAAAACCTTCAGATTTTATGAAAGTAAGGTAGAGAATGGATTAGAGTGAAATCAGTGTCTTTGCAGCACGGACTGCAAATGGCTCAGAATTAACCATGATTTTTGAGTTAACCGTGCGTATCCTCTTCTATATTACCCCGTAAATCAGAAATTGACTGTATTTGAAAAAAAAACTGAGTTAATTGGAATAAAAATGTATTTTGGGCGAATTTTTTAGCAAAATTAGCCTTAGAAGCAAGCACTTGCCGCTCTGTGGAGACATCATGGATGCTCAGCACTACATCCCATAACAATGGGGCAGGAGACTGGGTGCCATCAAGAAAGAGCTAATGTTAGTAATTAAGTTGTGTTCTACAAAGTAAAAAAAAAATCATAGAAAGCATGTTTCAATTCCAAATACTGGCATTTTCCTTTCTCACACACACACACACACACACACAAAAAAAAAAAAAAAAAAAGAGAGAGAGAGAGAGAGAGAGAGAAAGAGAGAGGGGGGGGGAAGTGTGATGGCAAGCTAGTATAAATTGCATAGACATTATCATTCTAGAACACATCACCAGGATAAATGTCCACAAACTGAAATCAGCAAAACTGCTCTTCAATAACACTTTTTATACTTTAATATATTTCTGTACTCATGTGCACAATAATATATTTCTAGCAATGTTTCAGATCAATGTCGTTCCTAGATTTTGTGAGCTTCACGATTTTTTTGAATGGACACAAGATCTTCATAATGAATCCTGTATATGGGTCAAGTGCTTGTGTGTTTTCATGAGATTTTAAAATAAATATTTCAAGAGTTTTCAAAAACTATACTTTAAAAACAACTTTTACAGTTTGTTAAATATACAGTGCCTCTAAAAATTCTTTACCATTTACAGAAGCAGATACACAAGTAACTTTATATGAGATTAAAATGAATTACAAAAATTCTTACTCTTTTAAATTAATGTATATTTTTTACAGGTATTCTAAGCAAAAGAAAATTACAGCTATTCTAATTTAAAAAATAATTTCTTTAATTATTAGGATTAACACACCAAAAATTTATACACATTTATATAAATGAATATTATTTATTAGTAAAAACATGATTTAATAATCTTGCCCAAAAAATGTGTGACCCAAGTGCTTCAAATACTATAGTATTTAGTACTTAGTTGTATCCATTATATCCAATTTTCAAATTAACTTCCTTAAACAGATAGCCTCAAGTATCTAACATTAGATGATGATGATTAAAATAAACAGTCACATAAAATAAACAGAGCAATCAAATTTTTATTAACTAGTCACAAACTGCAATAAACTTAACTCAAAAAATTCTTTACACACATTAAGAAATTATTTAATCATTTTTATAAATAATGTACAACACATGAGTTTATAGCATTTCAAATATTATTTGTAACATTCCAAAAGGTCAAAGAAAATAAAAATATCAGTTAAAATAGTGCAAAATTCAAGAACCAGCAAATAAAAAATTAAAATTTTAATAGTATATTCAATTATTTTCAGAAATAAAATTTATTTCAAAATTTATATTAACAAAAATAAATTACATATATATTAGAATCAGAATATTTCTCTCAGAAGTATTTTCAAAGAAAACTTTGGAAATTTATGAATCAGCTGTTTTTTTTTTTATCTCTTGATTGGAGAGTTGCAGTGAAACATATCAGAATTTGCTTAGGCAATATGAAATAGGTTTTTGGATATGGCATATAGTTTTCTGCATAGATCAATCTACTTCAAATCCTAAGCAGCACAAATTGCCTGGTTAATATCTCTGGGATTTTGCAGGATAGCCAAAGAGAACAATCATAGCTGGCAAGAACAGTAAGCTGCTAAAGCTCATTTGTTCCTCTCCTGAAATATAGAATTTAAAGAAAATTAAAATGTATGACATTACATATCATATCCAAAATTTTTGTTTTCCCTTTTTCAATAATATTACATGTGCCAACATAAATTATTGACCAACTTATACAGAATGAGTCAGAGGTAAGGTTACATGTTTGAAGTAGATGCAATGTGTTACTGCATATTATATAGGGATATGGTGAATGACGTATTACATCTGAAACTTCATCCCCCCCCCATTTCAAATACGAGTTCTGTGTCTAGGCTTACATTATCAGCCAAAACAGTATTGAAATGCAGCAGCCAAGTTATGACAGCATGGACCACTATGTTTGCAATCACACATGCTGCAATTGATCATTGCTAAGAATAATATGGCTGATACATGATTATTAATCAAAATAATCTTGAGGCTAACAGAGAAGAAAAAAACATAATTTTAATACAACACTTGCATTCAACTATGCGAAAGACGATACAGTTGACTGTTTACAATGGGAGCAACCAGAAAAGAAAATACTGATAGGATTTGCACTGATGCAGGAACTGGTAAAGATTAGGATTGCACAAAATGGTGAGTGTGAGGCAATACAGTGAATTTGGCTAATACTACTTCACAGACTTTTCAATGGCACTATATCATTTCCCACTGTCATGTCATTATCATAACACAATGCACTCAAACATGCAGTCATACTGACTCACCCAGTACATCTTAACAAAAGCTATATATAATTCCTCTAGGGCTTCTTATTTGGTGTACATGGTTTGCTTCTTGCAACAGACCAATTATGAAATTTTAATTTAAGTAATTTATCCTCACTTTATTGCAGTATTACATATCATGAAGGAACTTCAAAAATTAACCATAACATAAGCAAAGCCATTGGGCAGTTGAGGTTCATATTGAAAAAACATTCAATCAGTGTTTTAATTTCAGTAAAAAGTACTCTCATAGAATTATTAACAGACTATTCGAACGAATTGAGATATAAGTTTAACCTCCAGTTCTTCGACATAAATATTTTAGTACGCAGTGTATATTAAAATTCATTCCTAGCTTAAGATATAACAAAATTCTTCAACTGATAATACTAAATCAAAATTTTCTACTATGCTGAATAAATTTAGCAATATCATAATATATTTTACAATACTTGATGAATATAAAATATTAAAGGCAATACAGAAACATGAAATATTTAAAGCATATGCACATCTGTGTATGGGTACACATAAATGCATAAACCCTTGAATAAAGTTGATTAAATTTTAAAACAGGAAAAAAATTCTCAAAAGATTTTTTTATATGGACATCACTTTATAGAAAGACATTCACACACTTCATAAAACACAGCAAAACAGCCGATGTTATAACATAATTCTCAAAACTCAGTAATTTTCCAGTTATCGTTGATGCATTAATGTTAATTAATAATAACATATTAGAAGTAATAATTAAATGTTATTTCTGAAATCAAATGTTACTGAGTTATTCCCACATGCGTCAAAATATATCGAACAATGTTAAAATAAATAAATAGCAATTAAAAATTGTTCCTTAAAAACAGCAATTAAAAACTGTTCCTAATATTATTTCATAAGCTTTAGTAACCTTCATAAGCTTTAATTACAACCTCAATTAATAATCTATAATTCTGCAAATAACTGGGCATCATGACAAAAAGACCTGCTTAAGATTCCCTGTGCAGAATCAAAATAAATAATATTAGCAAGTATATAAATAATTTCTGAGGCATTTTTTAATACATATTGATCTTAAACATTTATTAATTTTGTTTCACAGCTGTCACTAAATGGGTCAATAATTCATGTGCACTTGATATAGTTCTTCTGAAATACACATTTCAGTATTATGGGTTGCTAAAACTATACTTTCATCAGCATAAAGTTTAAAACTGATTAAAAAAGTACAACAATTTGAAATTATAAATCATGCTTATTTCAAAAATGACTGTCTGGCCTGAGAGAGAAAATTTTAGATGAAGTATTCCAATTCAAAACAGCTACTTATGTATTACCTAATTTTTAGATCAAAAGAAGAACAAACTGAAATCTGTAGGCAAAGGAAGCTGCTTCACAATATTAGGGTGAAGATTTTTTCCTATGAAGAATTCTGGACAGCAGTCTAAAAATTAAAATGACACTGAAATACACTTAAACTTTAAAAAACTCAGGCTTAAATACGAGCCCAGAGAAAAACTAACAAGTTTTATGCATTAAACTATTTTTTGCAAATAAATAACCGCATCAAAGCTTCATAAGTAAAAAAATTTCATGAAAAAAGTATTCACTCAAATAAATTCAGCAAGTAATTTTACAATTATTTGATTTTGCCGATCCATCATAGCAAATAAGTTCAAATTTCCAGATTCCAATTGCCAAGCAAATAAATGAGCATCAGGACGATTAGCAGCATACATTAAGCATTTAAAATTTTTGCCCAGTCTTGATTCTCAGCACTAATGATAATTCTCGATTAATTTCAATTCAAAGTTTTATAGCTTCAGAAAACAAGGTCCATTCTCATACACTGCAAATTAAATGGCATTCCAAAAGAAATACAAATAATTTTTAAGAAAAATTGCCTGAATTCACCGACCTGCTAATTATAGCTGCCAATATATCAGTACTCATTTTATATACAACGAAAATTCAAAATGGTAAAACATAATTCTAGAACTAAATTACAAAATAAATAAATTCCTATTATTTTAACACAATAAATTACTTTTTTCATGATTAAATGCTAACATTTATATAACTCATAAGAACTGGAAATAGGAAGGGGAAGGAGAATGATAATATAAAATGCTATATTATAAAAAGTAAACCAGTCAAAAGAACTGATGGCGCAAATTTAATTTTCAATAAAAGTTCTAGATAAAATTTTTTGTAATTTAATTCCAAATCGTCAAAACTCTTAAACCTCATGGTATTTGAGAGTTAATTCATTTTTTGATTGCAAATAAGCTCTTAGCAGCATCGTACTGTTTTTGCTTGCATGATTTATTTAATACTTTCACTGCATCTATTTACAATAAATTTTAATTGGAATAAAAATTACAAAAATCAAAACAGCATATAAAATACAAAAAATATATAAAATATTCAAAAATTCTTAAAAACAATATTTCAACATATACATCAAATCTAAAAAAATATGGGAATAAAACAGGGAGCATTTTCTTGTTAATTAATGCAGCAACAAGATGCAGGAAGGGTTTGTTTTACTAAATATAACAAAACATGTGATGACTGTTTGCCTTAACTGGGATAATGGCTTCTAAAAGACACACGAGAAAACTACGAGAACATCTGTACAACCATTCCGTTGATATGAACTATGATCAAACTACAGATGCTCAATGATCGGTGTCTAGAATTTAATAATTTGTCAAGTTCTGAACTATACAATAATTTTAGACACCAAAAAAACAATGATAACTGATAAACATGGCTTGTTAAAAACTGATCTACACTGTATGACACAAATATATGTATATGTGATTACATCAGCATTTATGCAGTGCACTTATGCAGAACAGCATTTTTATTTCACATAATGTGGCAACATTATCAGTCAAGATAATATATATACCGGGTGGCCATAATTAAACTGACAGTGCTCACAGTGTTCAGTAGCGCGATCTATTTGCGAGAATGACGCCACATTTTGTAGGAAGATTAAACAAGACCAGGGACGAAGGATTCTGCGAAAAAACAAATTAGTTCCAAAAGTCACCGCTAGGGGAATATTTGGCACTGTGTAATAGAAAATAGAGTGTTAACAAATGCAAATCAATATGGAAATTACCTTTTATTTTGCATTCAAATGAGGTTCAATGTGACTGCCGCACAACAGCAGAAAGTAACATATCTACAGGAATCTCCCGTACAGTCCGTGATATGTTATCCTTCAACGTAGCCAGGTCCTGGACCACTCCTTGATAGACCTTGAACTTAAGGTTAAGGTAACCCCATAACCAGAAGTCACATGGGGTAAGATCAGGCGACCGATGTGGCCATGCAGTTGGAAAGTAGCGGCTAATGACTCTTTCTGTTGTGAATTTCTGTCGTAGCATCTGTTGCACCCATACAGCAATGTGTGGAGGGGTTCCATCTTGTATGAAAATGATTTCCCCCCGGCATTGTCTTTGCTGAAGTGCCGGAATGACAAAGCTGTTCAACATGTGGCGATATTTCTCTCCGGTAACAGAACAGGTTTCCGTCCTGTCGGGGTAATGTTCTCATAGAAGAATGGACCTATGATAAATTCCGCTGTGAACCTACACCAAACAGTTACCTTTGGTGAATGTAAGGGAATTGCTGCGACTGCATGTGGTGGTTTGTCCTCCCAAATTCGGCAGTTCTGTGTATTCACAGTTCCATTCAGGTAAAAGTAGGCCTCGTCTCCCCATAAGATTTTCCACAGCCAAGAATCATCCACCTCCATTCTGACAAGAAAGGTGAGAACAAAAGTCAATCGCTTATCATGGTCGGGGTACAGTAACTCCAGTACACGGCTGATCTTGTACGAATAGAAGTTGATAATCCTTCGCAAGATTTTCCATACCATACTGTAAGGCATATCTATATTCTGAGCTACTCCACGAGCGCTAAAGGTGGCAGCAATATTGTCTGGTCCTCTGTTGACAATCGCTGTGGCAACTGCTTCGACTGTATCCTGTGGTACAGGTTTTCATCCTCTGCCTGACTGAACCTTCAGAGAACCTGTTTCCTCAAACGTCACAACCATTGCTTTTAGCCCATTAACTAACACAAGACCGTTACCTTTATGCATTTTTTTGTGCGTTCTAAAAGCACGAAGAGCGGCTGATGCGTTGCACTGGTTGAGGTAAAAGAATTCAACCAGTAACGCACGCTCGACTAAAGAAGGAGACATTGCACATAAACTTTCAATCCGATTGATTCGAAACGCAACACATTGCCTTTTAAAACCCAAGCAGCTGGCACTGTGCGAATGGATGTAACGTGAAATTTGAGTAAAGAACTTCTTCTTCTGCTCAGCGTACGTGATATTACAGATCACAAGACTTTATCGGTGTTTATGTAGATTTTACGCTTTTTTAAAAGTGTTGCCATATTGCACTTGAATTAAATCAGAAAATGTGCATAATAAAAGGCAATTTTATTCCGTATTAATTTGCATTTGTTAACATTCTATTTTCTATTACACAGCGCCAAATATTCCCCTAGCGGTGACTTTTGGAACTAATTTGTTTTTTCGCAGAATCCTTCGTTCCCCGTCTTGTTTATTCTTCCTACAAAATGTGGCGTCATTCTCGCAAAGAGATCGCGCTACAGAAGCACTGTGAGCACTGTCAGTTTAATTATGGCCACCCAGTATCTGTCAGAATTATCTAGATAATAAAAGATACAGAAATAATGTGTTTCTCTACAATAACAATGGTTATAATGAACTCCTAATAACAATGGTTATTAGAGGATTTACTTGCAGTATTTGGGACTCTTTCCAAAATTGCTTTTAAATTTATTTTTTATACTTTTATTTCAATCCAAATGTGTAAAACAACAATAATGCATTTTGCACATTTGGCATACTTTTTAAACCAACCATATGTAAAGATATCACCATTCCATCACTAACAGGAAGAAAACTACAACTATCATTTGTTTTAAAACCATATTTCACAGAAAACTAACTATTTTTAATTATCTTATTTGAAAATAAATTTTCAGCTTGCCAAAAAATTTATAGAAAGTGAAGAAATTTAGAATTCCTTTTTACTTGTCAGTATTCATAAATTACATTTTTTACAGATTTATAAAATCTTGGTTCAGTATTTTGACTCAACTTCTAAACATAAGAAATACATAAATTTTAACTCAAAAAGCTTTCTTTCTTCTCATTATTATTCATGTGTATTTCTTTATATGCTTTACAAAATCCGTAAGTTAAGAAATATGCACAAATACTACTCATTAATATACTAGTTTTTTTTCTTTTAAGGAGAAAAATTACATTTAATTCTTTGGAATTTAGAAGAATGCCCTTTTGGCAATCAATGTAATGTCTGAAATTATTTTTTAGATGCACATTCTCAAAAACTGTTGAATAAAATTATATTTGCCATGAAACACAGTATCATATTTATGCACTGAAAAACTGAACAAGAATATGTACAGTTCAAGAAAAATTATGGCAATAAAAAATGAGATGAATTGACAGTGATTTCGACACTTCGTTAATAACATGTAAGCAAACTCAAATTTGTAAATTATGCAAGGGGAATTCAATGTATCATCCAGCTTGCAGCAATTCAAAGAACCTGGACATTTATTTGTACAAAATAAAGGACTGAAAATAAAAAATATATTTCTAATACTATGACATGATGCAAAGAATACAAAACTACAAAAAATAAGAACTATATCATAGGAAATAACCCAAAGGACTTTGACAGCAATCACTGAAAGTATGTGCCTGCCAGTCTACTGTGTCCATACTTGTTCCAGTATAGTAGTAGATGAAGAAGCAGATATAATAGCTAGAAGAGCAGCTTAAAAAAAAATGGACATTCACACAACATTCAACTCGCTAAGTCACACCTACAAAGGAACTTACAAAACCCCTAATAAAGGAACACCATACAATATGCGAAAAATACAACACTGACTATAATGCACACACTTGTTTTCTAGAAGTAAAAAACTTATTACTAACTTATTAGTGAAAAATCATCTTAATCAAACATAACACACAGTGACAGTCATTTCATAAAGTACTTCTATCACTTCAGCCTCAAGGGAAATGATATGTATATTGGCGAGGCTGACAATAATCAGGACTACTATGTCTTTGCTTTCCTTCTTATGTACAAAATCACCTAAAGAAGACAACTTTTACAAGAGTATCCTTGGAAAAGAAATAATGAAAATAGACGGCAATTGAGATAAGGAGCTAATTGCCATCTATGTCTCCTACACATAAACAATGTTATGCTTGGCTTATTTATTGATCCATCATATTTGTATAATCATCTACTCCTAACCTCATGTTATAAATTTGAGCCTTACATCTGATACAATGTTTATTATGTTTTGTACAAGTAAAATATACACCTGACTCGACATCGCCTTATTATGACTATGCTTTCCAAACATTATTGCATCTCCGCTGCATACATTTCCTTCAATATTTTCAAGAAGGCAAACAGATATTTTTACATGAATAGACGATTATGCTGGGATCAGCTTAAAGAGGTGAAGGAGCCTGGTCAACACCTGAAGAGAACTATACTTCTTAAAAGATACAAATTACTTTTGAACATCACCTCTCAGAGGCTAAAAGACTTGCCTAGAATTGTAGTTGCTATAGCTATCTTGGGGAGGTTTCATTGTATCTGTGAACTGTGACTGTAGTTTTTTTTTTATTTAACTTTGAGAAAGTAAGACTATACAGATAATTTATTTTCAGCTGTACATGATAAATTCAACCTTTTTATATCATAATTGATACACATGAGCAATATTTCAATTCTGCTGAAAGAAAAGGATTTTAATGAATAGGTGCAGTAAAATTATGAGCAATTTTTCAGTCTTGATTCTCAAGTTGGAAAATAACTAAGATAAATAATTTCATTGTGAATATGCTTTAGTTTTCTGCTTCTAATAAGGTTTTTTTCAAAACAAAGTATGCATTACTCTTTCATACTCAATTTCATAATCCCATATTGAGCCTCTCCATCTCAAAGCACAACCACCACCTTAACAAAACAAATTAGTATGGAAACTGGAAACAAATTAGCAAAATGGATCTGAACTTCGTATTAGGCTATGTGGCATATTCATATCAGGCTATGTGGCATATGCATATCAATGCCACATAGCCTCCTATCAGCAAAAATATGAAGAAATATGATTCATCTGACTCTGTTCATTCAAGATCCATCTTTGATTTCTCTACCTGTGACATGTCATGTCAATAAAATGCAATCAATAATAAATGCATAATTTTGGAATACGCTTTACTGTTTGCTTTCTGACCTTTTCAGGTCTGTAATGAAAGGATATACACTAATGCCATTATTTCTTCTATCTAGATCAGTTTTTTGGTATAAAAACAAATTTATTAAAAAATAAATAAAATAAAAACAGAGTAAAAATAAGAAAAAAGAATTATCAGTCAAACGATTGTGTAAAAAAAATTTCTTAAAAAATAAAATAAAAACGGAATAAAAAAGAATTTTCCGTTAAACTACTGTTTTTAACAGGAAAGCAGACATCAGTCAAACAATTTAAAGCAAAAAAATACAACTGTTTTTTTTTAAAAGCTGTTAAATGATTCATAGAACATAACTGTAAAATATAGTAAGTCTAAATTAAATAATAATATGATGATAATATTATTGTACTCTCTAATGGAAACATGGTTACAAAATAATGAGAGAAAAAGCATTAAAAAATTATACCAAAGAAGACACATTCTATATCTATTATATATGCATTAATAATTACGATTAATTTTAAGAATTATTAAATTTCCAGAATAATAAAGGATATTTTCCAGTTACCTTATTCCACATAATAAATAATTTATGCATAACTAAAATTTGAAATTTTAACCTTCATATTTAATAGCAATCAGTTCAAAGATAGTTAAAACTGAGAAAAATAATGAGATATGTTTAAAAAATACCTTGATGATGATTAATATAATAAATCAATATAATTTATGCCAATATAAAATTTATAAATATATACAGACATACATTTTTATATATATTTATAAAATCTATGCACAGACATAATATTAAATATACTACAAAGCTTTATTAAAAAAACTGGATTCAGTAAAAATAATTTTGGTGCAGAAGTAAGCTGAAATTATAAAATATATTTATTTAATCAAGTTAAAATTTAAAGTATTTACAGTAGCTTCTCCTTCCCCCTTTTATTATATGTACTGCAACTCAAATGACTTTTCTCTAAAATACGTAGCGTATTCGGAAACTAAGTACCGTTTCATTCTAGCGCCAAACCAAATCACAAAACCAAATTGTGACAGGTGATGAAACTTGGGTGTGTCATTTCACACCAGAATCGAAACAACAATCGATGGAGTGGAGACACACTCATTTTCCGAAAAAACAAAAGTTCAAAGTGACAATGTCATCACAAAAAATCACGTGCACTGTCTTCTGGGATAGGAAAGGCGTTTTGCTTACTGAATTTTTTCCCAGAGGTGAAACCATTAATGCGGCACGATATTGTGAGACTTTAACAAAACTAAGGCGTGCCATTCAAAACAAACGAAGAGGAATGCTCAGTAAAGGAATTGTGTTGCTCCATGACAATGCTCGGCCCCATACTGCTGGTGTCACTCAATCGTTAATTCGACAGTTTCATTGGGAGCAGTTCGATCACCCGCCGTACAGCCCGGACTTGGCGCTGTCCGACTATCACTTGTTCGAGCTTGGTGGCAAGCGCTTTGGATCTGACGATGAGACGAAAAATGCTGTGGAGTCGTGGTTATTGAAACTGGCAGGAAGTTTCTTTGACGATGGTATACAAAAACTGCTCACCCGCTATGACAAATGTTTTATCATTGGCGGAAACTATGTTGAAAAATAGTTTAAGACATGTATTTTCATGTAAAAATAAAATTGGATTTGAAAAAATTGTTTTACTATTTTTTTTTTTTTTTTCAAAACGGTACTTAGTTTCCGAATACGCCTCGTATATTGAAATACTAAAAAGAAAAATTCCGGTTTTAAAATTATTTCAAAATATATTCCTACTTCTAAACAAATGTGTTAATAAAAATTGCTTTATTACTGCTCTGCTTTAAAGTATGTTAATTTAAATACACTAGTGAAACAAATAACTCCATTAACTCAAATGTGTGATTTTTTGATATACATGAAATTTATCATAGATCAGCCAAAGACCAACGTTCATACAATTTTAATTTAAAGAACATTACACAACCTTCCAGGCCACTGTGCTTCTTTGTCCGTTAAGGGCACATATACAACACCCATCAGACTTGTTTTCCTCACACTGCCATCAGGCAACTTCTCAACTTGCTCCAGCATTTGATTCTGTCCTTCTCGGCCAACAGGAACAATGAGTTTGCCTCCAGGTTTTAACTGATTTACCAACTAGAGTGGGTAAGTTCAAATAATAAAAATTTTAATAAAAACATTTAAATGTCAGAAAACTTCTTCAAAAGGAAAGAAACTGTAGCTATATGAAAATGCAGCATATAATTCAGAAAAAACTATAAATTATCCAATTTATTAGTAATCAGGATAAATTTTTCTTTTAAATTATCATTATTTTCTCTGCATTCTTAAAAAAAGAAGAAAAAAAATAACTGTTAAATGAACTGAACATTAAATTAATTTTCTGCAGAATAAGTTTTATTTTAAAACTTACTAAGGAAATTAGTGAAATCAATAAAATTACAGAAATGTGACATATACTTCAATGAAGCTGGGTGTCCTTTAAATACGAGGGCCATCCAGGAAGTAGATTACGTTTCCTTCTGTGTCCGCTAGGGGCGGGTCTAGCGCGGCCATCTTGGGGTCAGAGCGTTGCGCAGCTCAGTCTGCATCTAGCCGTGCTAGTGAGAGGTTCGTGCTGTGCTCCGTTCAGATACTGTGACGGTTTGAAATGTCTGCGTTAATTGAAAATCCCGCGAGCTGCGAGGTGCGCTCAGTAATAAGGTTTCTGACTGCAAAAAACTGTAAACCGATAGAAATCTATCGGCAGCTTCGTGAAGTGTATGGGGACAACATTATCACTGAAGGTGGAGTGCGTCAGTGGGTCATAAGATTTCAAAATGGCCGAACCAATGTTCACGACGAAGATCGAAGTGGGAGACCCAGCATAGTGACCGCCGAACTTCTCGAAAAAGTCGATGCTAAAGTCCGTGAAAATCGAAATTTCACAATAACGGAACTTTCTTTGAGTTTTCCACAAATTTCGCGAAGTTTGTTGCACGAAATCATCAGCGAAAAGCTTGGTTACCACAAGTTTTGTGCAAGATGGAAGGCAAGAAGAGGTAACGAAGTGGTTGAAGGCGCAGGCGGCCGAATTTTTCGACGAAGGAATTTCCAAGCTCGTACATCGCTACGATAAATGCCTTAATTTGTATGGTGACTATGTAGAAAAGTAGTATTTGAGTGTGGCTTTCATCTGTATATAATAAAATTTGTTTCCTATACTTTGTTTATTTTTTTATTCCAAAACGTAATCTACTTTCTGGATAGCCCTCGTATATGCTATTCCAGCAACATAACTTATTCATATTTTTAGATTTTAGATTTATGCTATTTTTAATCATCCACAAATAGATTTCATCATTAAAGTAGCCAACTGAAGTTTTTAGAATGTGCTTTAGGAAAGCACTTCCAAAGCTAGCCCCTCAGACTGACTACATTTAAAGCTCGTCTATATAAGCAAAGTTATAAATAAATAAATCAGCCCATAGTCTATAATTTTCATCCTCCTATATGGATTTTACATTAACATCAGGTTCTACATTCCAATACAAGTATTGTATGCGTATAATAAAATAAAAAATCTTACGTGTACACAACATTTCCTTGCATGGAATATTAAATTATATGCATTCTTTTTTCTGCATTTCATTTAAACTTATTGAATTTAATTCAGTCTACTTGGTTGATAGCGTATAAACCACAATAGAATAAATGCACTCTTTAAAATTCACTACATTTATTTACTACAGTGACACTCTGGCGCTGGGTCCACTTAACAGTGTTGCATCTCATTCTTTTACAACTCAGAATGCACGAAAATTATATCATCTGAAGAATTATCTAATTGTTACCACATGTTCTATTTAAACACTATAATAAATCTAAAATGATGTGTAAAATAAATTACATAAATCAAAAAGAAACAGTTGCTGTTGCAAAGCTTAGTTTCTTTAGATTGGCAACAAATTCACTATTCTGCTAAGTTTCAAATGTAAACAAATATAGCTGCTGGTAAAAAAAAAAAAAAAAAATTAGGCTTAGCCGCACTTAAACAGCTTTTAAATTGTTGATAGGTCTACAAATATTGCATGCAGGTTAACTAAAGGCATAAAAACCTTAATCGGAAGATTAGAACAACACAACTCAATCATTTTTAAAGCAAAAAAATTTATCGGCATATTAGAATAAAAAATCTGAGCTCACGGAGCCGAATAACAGCGTGGGTATATGTGTATATATATTTATTTACTTTCGGTGTGGCCCATAGCCACCAAAAAGGGAGGTGCACAACTACATCCAATAGCTGTCCTATATACAAAATTTCAACGTTCTGAGGTTACTCGTTTTTGAGATATGAGAGATACACACATAAATATGTACGCACGTATGGGGTACAGAAACTACGAAAAAATCTCTTCTGAATCAATTTTATTAAATCAGTTTTATAATTTTTTTTGGGGGGGGGGAAAGAATCCTTTATTCTGTTTATACATACAGATGTCACACAAAATAAACTGCATTCGATAGCGGTCAAAATGGATATTTTCGTTTAAATATGGTACTTGGAATTTTTCAATATTCAATACTTCCTTTACTTCATACAAGGAAGTAAAAATCAGCAATCATACAGTATGCTATCTAATACCTTTAGTTATTTATTTATATGGTGCCACTAAAAGGCTATTTTTTAATTCAACTGCACAACTTTTCAGCATGGGAAGTTAAACAAAAATATGTAAACTTTTGTGTGCGCAAGGGGGTAAGAAATGACTGAAACAACAACCAATTTTAATAACGCAAGCTAAAAAATAATTAACTAACTAAAAGAAGTAGGTTACATACCACAATGATTACCAAAAAATGTTAATCGAGATAATAATTATCACATTATTTTTATTAATTACATTACGGATACAAATATTTATATAATTTTTGCAAAAAGATTAAAAATTGAAATTAAAGATAAAGAGATAGGGATTCTCTTTAAATGAGTCATTATGCTACCTTGACAACAACTGCATTTCAATTATTATTATATACTGTTAACAAAATAAGTTAAAAACTTCCTAGAACAAGATGTGATTTTTTTTCCAACAACAAGATATGTAAAAATGATAACACTGGCTTTTTTTTTTTTAATGCTAACTGACACCTTTCAAAAAAATATTTTTTACTTACACTATCAATTGCTTCTTTTTGCAATAAATTAGCTCTTAGAAATATCCAATATAAAGTCCTACCCATAATTTACCAACAATAATAATCATACAAAATCCTTCCTTCAAGAAATAATGAGGGAGAAAAGGAACCCCCAGCATGCTTTTATTTAGAGAATTACCCAAAATAGTGCAATTTAACACTGAGAAGGGGGCTCAGCCTTTGAAAACAATAAATTGACATCTGTTTTGATTTGGTTAAAAGATAACAGGATTAAATCTTACTAAGCAGTTTTGCAAAAGCTTCTGAACAAGAAAAGTATAAGTTCTAGTTATATGCTGCTATTAGGAAGAAATTACTTTTAACGCAAATAACTGTTTCCAGATAAAGCAAAGTAATTCTATGTCAGGATTCTAAAAAATGCCAAAAGATTATGACTTTATTTTCTTCAAAATCTTGATGTAAGATATTTGAAACCTTTATCTTCATTGCTTTCTTACTAAAAATAGAAAATACTATCCTATGTATGTAGGAACTTCAGTACTTCTTCTCAACTGGGCTCAAAGATGCAATGTCTCTGAGTAAGTTTTTCACTGTTCGTTTATTCTAATTCACCATAAGTTTCCATTGTAATTGCATGAAAAATCTAAAATTTTGATACCATGTACCAGTCTTCAGATTGGATATGATTTCTGGGCTTCAGAAATTTGTTCTGATGAAGTAATTCTGAGATAACTCGGATAACAATAGTAGCCAAAAACATTTTTCACATCTGAATTTAAAAAACACATTCATAATTTCATGTAAGGATTCTTTGTGAAGATGAATATCCATCTTATATTTCTGTTGTCATATACATTTGGTGGCTTGTACCTGCGAAGAAACTGAATGCTTCAACTCGAAATAATACTGTTATACAACCAAACTCATCATTATGGAAGAAATGCCCTAAGGGCTTGCAGAAATGGATAATATGCATTTTAATTATTATTATTTTTTTAAAGAAATACATCTATTGCATCATTAAATCTTTCAAAAGGTCAAGACTGAAGAGATTGATTACTGCTTCCACTTCTATTAAAAAAAGATATATTTATTGTAGACTGATTGTACAAAATTTCTCAAAAGGATTAAAACTGAAAAATGTAAGATTGCCCGGGGATTTCTCGATACTCTTTCTTCAAGCTTAATAACTTTTAATAATGCAATGAATTTCATTATTTGTCTTCCAACTTGAAGACCAAACACTTTAATTATAGGTATCAACAGTTGGAATAAAACTCAAAGTCAAAAAGGTAAAAAAAAAAAAAAAAGGGAAGGAAAGAAGATTTCAGGACTTATAATTTATTAATTCTGAAAGCATAACTATAGACCAGGAGTCAGCAATCTTGTATCTGTGACATGCCAAACCAATCTACCAACATGATTCATGCCGCACAGTAGAAAATATATATGAAACAATTTGATTCCCGCAGCAATGCATGCAGAGTTAGGGGATAGACATACAAAATACAAATTTAGAATTTTATTATATAATGATTATACGCTATTTAAAGGTATTTATTAATGTAAAATAAACGAAATAAAATATAACTATTCCATCAATATAAATAAAAAAATTTTAATTATACATATACTATGTGTCTTTTAAATATGTTTATTAAAATAAAAAATAAACAATATACAATTACAACATAATAACAAAACAAGGCATGCAACATCATTCACTTCAATATTTTCATCAAGAGCAATGCTAAATGCAACAGTTTCTTGTAATCCAGAATTCTGTTTTGTTGCTACATTTTCTGCTACTTCAGTTATTCATCTTTCAATAGTTCGCCCAGAAATCGATATTTCTTGAATTCGGGGCATTACTGTTCGTAGATTTGGTAAACTGCTGAACAATATTTCAATACTTTTTTAAAATGTGTATTTAATATATTCATCATTTGTGAAAGTTTTGCCTTCGACAACTACATAATGAGCAATTACGAAACTACATTCGTCACATTACGTTTGGTTACAATTATTTGACAAAAAATGTTAATTTGTTTCTGACATCCAGAAAAACAGCTCTTTTTATAACTTCAAATTTCTCATTGGAATTCTAAAATTTAGACCGATATTTAGTTTGAAAATACATTTTTACATTTTTAATATGTGACACATGATGCTTTGCCACATAACACACATACAGCACAATTCTTTTTATGTACGAATATATATTAATTCATCCAAGAGTCTTGAAAACTGGGAACATCAGGCTTTCTTTTTTTAGTGGATATTTAATTAAGTATGTAGGTATGAAATGTCCCATTAATTAAAATTAAACAAGCAAAATACAAGTTTTCACAATAAGACTGTGTCGCAAAAATAAAAGTTACCTAGCACACAATGTGCATCGATTAAAATCATATTCGATACTCGTGCATTGGCATGATGAACTGAACGAAAGGCAAGAAAATGCGTAAGGTGGGTCGGCACAGAAAGGAGAGAGAGAGCGATAGTATTTTTATATGATAACTTTGTAGAGTGGTATAAAATGACAATGATAATTTTACTGTGTACCAAATCTGGCATGCATGCCATAGGTTGCTGATGCCTATTCTTGACAGTTTCTTAGTTTATAAACAGTTTTTTTGTTTCCAAGTATTCAGAATAGCCATTCTGAATTCCACAACTAGTTCTGCTTAGGAATGGTACCTACTAATCATTTACAGTGAGGACTATACTAACTCACAGAAAATGAGTAAGTGATGCTCTCTAAGTTAATATTTCAACTTATTCAGTAATTTTCATGCAATAGAGCTTCTTAAATAAGAAATTTTTAACTATTAAAATATTAGAGAAAAAGTAAAAGATAAATGAAAATGCTTAGTTCTATGCTGAACTGTTTTCTTTTATTACGAGTCTCATTTTCAGAATATAATTCATCTAGCATATAAGACATTGAGCATATTTCAAAGAATAAAAAGCTTGGCAGTATTTAGCCACTTTAAGCACACTTTCTAACCACAAAAAGATTTTTTCAGCATACAGTATTAAGAACTATAAATTATTACCTCTTGAGGTAACTCTGGGGCTGCAGCTCCTACATGGATAGCATCATATGGAGCTTCCTCTTTGTATCCTTGTCTGCCATCTCCAACTTCATATGCAAAAATAAAACAAATAATCAACATTTATAAACAGAAAATAAGAGGAAAAAAAGAGTGGTAACTATTTAACAAAACAAAACAAAAAAATTAGAATCACATATTAAATGATTTTGGATTTCTGTCTATGGTACAGTGTTAGTTGTTTTCCTATCTAAGTATATCAAACACAGTGAACATAAATCTTAACAAAACTATTTTTAAAATATTGCATTTTCTACAAAGGGAAAAAAATGGAAACAGTAGAATATACTAAGCTATCAGATGAAATGATAGTATCTTGAGAAAGAAGTAAAAAGAAAACCTACAGCTTAAGAGTTTTGATCTAGAAAAAGAAGTGGATCATTCTGAAGGCTACATGCAAGCTACTGTAATTTAGTGATAACTTCTCAAGGACTAACCATAAAGCTATTCAATCTAAAAAAAGTAACTTTTCATGACCTATATTACCTCCCCCCACCAAAAAAAAAAAAAGTTGACTGGGATAAAAAAAAAAAATATTTTACATGAAAACTAAGTCAGAAAGTATATTCTATCCAAGATTGGCACTCATGGTGTATAAATAAGTCATACAGACAAAAAATCTCAGCAAAGCATATTAATCAAATTTTCGAAGAAGCTACCTTTTAGAAGATCAAATATATACCACTGAATGGCAAGTAAATTCATCTAATCTCAACCCTATCTAGAAACTGTAGTCATTCATAAAAAAATGGTAAAAACAGAAGCCATTCCATCGATGAATCTCTTAATTTCCAGTATAGTGCACCTCTGTGGTCATGGTTTCAGTTATCAATGGTTCACAACACAGGAAAGAAGTTCTCTCCAAGTTTCAAAACTTATATCATCTGGCAGTGACCAAATGTGAGGTAACATTATAGGACTCAAAAGTTCCCAGACTGAGTCTATCACGTAAAAATTTTTGCAGTACTGCGACTACGAGAAAGGTTTTATGTTACTGCGTTCTCACCCTTTTCTAAAAGTGGCTTGTCTCAAATCACGTGGTCGAAAGCTCGTGGCGACAGCATTTTTTGTAACCGGCGATAGAAAGAAATGGCGTCAGTTGAGCAGAGAATGAATATCAAACTTTGTGTTTGCTTGGGAAAGAGTGCTACAGAGACTTTCGAAATGTTGAAGCATGTGTAGGGATGTGAAATGTAATCGAGTGAAGCTTTTGAGTGGCATCATCATTTCAGAGAAGGCAGGCAAAGTGTCGAAGACGACGAACGCTGTGGCCGTCCCGAGAGAGATTTCGAGCACCAATGAAAACATTAAAAAGGTGTCTGCAGCGGTGCGTGCGAACAAGAAGCAAACAATCTGCCAAACAGCAGAATCATTTGGGATATCAGAGGCCAAGTGTCAGCGGATACTGACTAAGGATCTTAACATGCATAGGGGGTGTCAACACATCATTTCCCGCATGTTAAACGTAGACCAAAAGGGAATTCGAATGGAAATGACGGGAGACTTAATCTCGGCTGTTGACAAAGGCCCTTCCCTACTCGGCAGAATTGTTAATGGAGACAAGAAACGGTGTTTTTTATACGACCCGCAAACCAAGAGAGCATCAGCAACATGGAAATCACAACAATCTCCACGGAAGCAGAAATTCAGCCAAGATCGCTCTAAAGGAAAGGTCATGCTACAGGTATTCTTTGATATCCAGAGCGTTGTGCATCCGGAATTTATCTCTGAAGGACGCACAACAAACAAAGAACTCTACATCGAAATCTTGCGTCGTTTGCGTGAGTCGATCCGGTAAAAGAGACCAAAAAATGTGGGCTGAGCAATCATGAGTGCTGTTGCATGACAACGCTCCTGCTCACCAATCCCTACTCGTCAACGACTGTCCTGCGAAAACAAAAACAACTGTTTTGCCTCATCCTGCTTACTCACCTAATCTCGAACCCTGTGATTTCTTCCTATTTCCTGAACTGGCAAGATGCTTGCAGGGTCATCGATTTCAATCTTCAGATGAAATTCCTCATATACCCACTTAAAAAGGGTGAGTGCTATATTCCCATGGTAATCACGATAATACACAAATGCATTAAGGAGGCAGAAACAGGGTTTTCTTCCTCTCTCCATAACATGCATACACTTTCCTAATGAATGTAACTAAATGGGATGGAAATAAAACCGGTCAGCTTTGGCACCTCATACCCATTCTCAGGTTACAAGTTACTTCTCAGTATCATGCTTTTCTCATCTCCTCACTCTGAAAGCTATAAAAATATCAGTAGGGGTCTACAGCTAACAGTGGTCATAGCATCTGACCCCCATCCCTACACTTACATTTTGTTGTTTACTCTGTTTCTAGCAATTTCCTTATTCTCATCAGTGACATGTTATAGTCAGGAATTTCTTATTTCAGAATATTATTTTAAGAATAGTGATGCTACCAAATATTTAAGCTTACGAGAAATTATGATATGTTTTGTCTATTAGTGAGTAAGTCAAAATTTGGATGCAATAGAAACAGGGAAGAAAAAAGTCCCATGCAAAAATTAACAGGTTTTAAGATGAGAATGAATTTTCAATTTGTGTGCTAAAGAATAAGAAGTTAGTGCTAATTTTCTATGGCACTACAAACTGTAAAAGTACCTGTTGTGCTGGGGAATAAAATGTTAATGAAAACGGAAAAAGGCCTTAAAATTTTTTGTTCACCTTCAGCTTACAAAGATGATCATCTTCATTCCATTTCTTCAATTCAAACAAGAACACCATCAATAAATACAGTTTCTACATCATTATCGTACTTCCTCTCCTCATCAAAAATACTGTGTATCATCACATGACTATGAATATTTCTGAATCTCCATAAGAAATTTTCTAATGATATGTTAAATACAGTACACACACAATGTTCACTGTAAAATTTGCAGCCATAAGAAGTTTTCTGATTGCTTTCTTGGGAAGGGGAGAATTATTCATATCATTCCTTGAAACCATCTGCATCATTCATTATACTATACAGTAAAGGAACAATATATCACAACTTTTCATTCACCTTTTAGAGATTATGTTACGTTTTCAAACTTCCTAATTTAATATAACCATGAGAAAAAAAAATATAATGTAGAGTACATTTTGCATTATTTTATTAATAATTTAGTATATTTTATTACTTATTTAATAATCCTTACTGGGTCAACTTCATTGATTATATTTCCTAGAATTTATACATTTTGCATGAGTATCCTATATGTTTGCAATTATCCATGAATGTTCTGGAATGAATTGCTTATAGATACTACTGTATCATAAAAGTTTCGTTTCATGATGATCAGGTGAAATAGATGTGCGAAAAATTGATGAAATCAATCTTAAGCTAATAAACAATTGCTAAAGTCAAAGAAGAATTCCTTTCAAACTAGGCTTATGATTACATTTTACAAACATATATTTAATTAAAACTACACTTTCATATGATATGTTCATATAAATCTGCACACTACTGCATATAATTCGACTGCCTCATCCGCGACCATGAGTGCAAACACGCATGTGTCATTTGGACCGAATTATTCTCAAAATAGGGTGGAAAGATGGGGGCTTTCTTTCCCTCCAGCATAGCTCTTTCCGGAGAAGAGAAAACCTTTCATGTCGCAACAAGTAATACCGCTCCTTTTGGATGAGTCTATGTATTTTTGCAGAATGCCAACCGGGGTTGTGCTTGAGACAGTAGAACTATACTTGCATTGAAATAATTTTATACACAATATGTTAATAGCAAACTACACAACATGAATTACAATTTCAGTATATTATGAATTTTAATATCCTAGTCATTAACAACTAATATTTTTCATCATTCATGCCTTTAACAATTATTGGTTCATAACACTCTGCTTTCTCTTTCTATAACAGACAGAAACTCAGGTATAACATACTCACTATAGCATTTTTAACTAGGTTCTTTTCTATTAAAAATCCTAAATAAATAAAATCCCTCATGAAAAAGGAAAGAGTTCAAAGCTCAAAATGTGAATTCATAAATTATAGAAAATTAAATATGCATGAACCGTAATTAATGGTACTTCACAAATTCAAAAAGAGGTAACTTTGACTATAATCCTGGAATGTCATACCATTTGCACTACTGAAAACTGTGACATTAAAATGTACAGGTGTTATTCTTCATAATACATTTTCATTAATCTATTTCCTTTTTAGCAGTTTTGATGTCAGCCTGGTGCTTAAAGATATGATTTATTCTTTCAGTTTACAAACAAGCAAATAATCCCTCAGACTGAAGTTATTGATAGCCCTGCTATAACAAAGCATGAAAGTGATATACAAAATTTCTCAACTTTGAACAATAAAGAAAGTTTGCCAGCCAATTTCTAACAGATTTTAATTAAGAGAAAATTTTTTTCTAAATAAGTTAATGACAGAGAAGAAAGGTATTTGTTTTTACATAAAACACATATTATTCAAATTTGAAAAAGACTAAGACACTCAGCTATGAAAATAGCCATTTTAAAATTTATTTAGTAGAGCACTCATAATCACAAAAACAGAAAGAAAATGGTTAATGATTTTCTGAAATAATTAACTTTCATATCAATAGACTTTTAAAATTTAGAAATGTCCGCATTTAAAAACTATTTGAAATGAATTCTACTCCGTAACAAGAAAACTGAAAAAAAGTTAACAATAATCTATTTAAGGAAATCGAATACTTTGTTGGTATTTTTGTAATACACTTTTAATGGATAGTTTTTCACCTGCTGGGCAATATTAAAGTTGCTGATGTCAATAGTTTTGTTCCTATTTAAAGACGTTTCACTTATGTTAGTAACATGTATTAAAAAAATACCTCCCAAAGAAATTTTTTTAAGATGCTACAAGCTCTAATGTTCAGATAAAAGTATATTTAGATTATAAACAGAATTTTTCATCAAATAAAGTTAACAGCTTTTATTACATATGAACAAACATGGGGCGGATATACATTAATGGCTTCATTTTACAAACACTGAATTAATTT